CCTAAGTCCACGGACGCTCAACCGCATTCAACCTTGTGGAACGACGCCGTCATGACGCGGTCCGTGACGTAAAACGCTTCTTCGACACCGTCGCCGTGATGGACGTCAATGTCAATGTACAATACGCGGGCGTGGTACTTGAGGAGCTCGAGGATACCGAGCACAATGTCGTTGATGTAGCAAAAGCCGGACGCTTCGGCCTTCTTGGCATGGTGCAGCCCACCGGCCCAGTTGATGCAAATGTCGCTGAGGCCTTGGTTGAGGCGGTACGCCGCATCTACGCACAGGAAGCATGATGTCGCATGAACAAGGGCGAAGGAGGACGAACGTACCCAACGAGCCGCCGGCCGAGATTTGACTAAAGTTGAAGACGCCGTCAAAGACGGGGCAGTCGGAGAACTCGCCCATGTTGTCTATATGAAGAGGTCGCATCCGAGGGAGCAAGGTCGGACATACACTTGTCGACTAGAGTCTGCATCGATTTTTCAGTCGACGGGCTCACTTTTTGAAGAAAGTCGACATAGTCGGCGGCGTGGAAGGCCTTGATTTCTTCCGCCGACGCCCAGTGCGGTTGCTACATCGGAATGTGAATAATGTGAAAGATGCGAAGACGAGAGAGACGTACAAACACTTCCATTTTGCGGAAGAGATCGTAGTTGAGTACGAGGTGGTGGGCGAGCTTGAGCCGGTGGGGCTTCATGGGGTGGCCTGGGCCGTAGTAAAAGTTGCCTTCCTCCGCTACACGTAGAGAGTATAAGGTATGGGCTTTGCATCACCAAGACGGACGGTGGTAGAAGTACGAGACGCGGGGTTTGCCCATCGAGGAGCGACTGCGACGACCAACTGCAAACTAGAAATGGCGTCATCACAGCTTCAATGCATTGTATCGATTTATGCAGGTCGTATTCATTATGAGAGGTTTTCGATTGCGTTCCTCGCCACTGAAGTCGGCCGTGAACATTTGACGCGTTCGAGGCTCTCAATACGACGTGAGAACGAGCGTCTTTTAGTGTGGTAAGACCAGGGAGGGTACGGGAAATATCGGCGAAATCATGATAGACAATACGACACGGCGACTCGGTTTTCACTCTTACAAAGAAGCCGCTGGGCAACAAGGTGCTTACAGATGGGTAAGCCATAGAGAATAGAGTGGTAAGATTTGTGCTGGTATTGCGCCGTGGGTAGGGCTGCCAAGTAGTGCGATACAGGGAATGGCCAGTTGTGGCTCTGGGAGCATATCCGTGGGCATATCTTTGGGTATATGACCATATAAAGCATATGATTGGTGGCTTATGTTCGATTGGCATGCAAACGGGCCAATCAAAACGATACATGGGTGCGGCTCGGATCCAAAGGATGCGCACCGAGAATTTGTCCCTTCAGGCTCAAAGTCGACTTGTGTCATTTTTGCTGAGGAATCTAGTAAGCTATGAGACGTGTCACCTTTGTGTTTGTTATATGATGTATAACAATTGTTGGTGAAGCTCGCAACCTCCCTGAAAGAAGTTCGTGAGCGCTCCTGGTAAAGCCGTCGGTGGGCATGTCGCAGGGCCGCCGCCTGCAATACATCTTCGGCTCGCATGAGCTCCGAGCTCCACGCGATGTCGACATCAAGTGACGAGCCTTGCGACCATAACAGATCGTTCACAAACAAGCCCTCAGTAGAAAATAAAATTACTGAAAATTAGTCGGGACTTAAAGTTGTTGAACAAGAAACATGCACGGGGTACTGGCGTATGCCACGCGTCGTCGTCGTCGTCGTCTCGCGGGCGCTTGCGCGACGTGGTTGCATCGCTCTCGGTCACTGGAGCTACGTCGGACATTGTTGTGACAGCGAGGATAGCGTCCAGCTTTGCGATGTATTTCATGTTGCCGCACTGTGCGACATACGTGTCAAACTCGGTCTCGATCGTGCGGCCTGGTTGCGGCAATTTGCGGAGCTTGTAGTCGCAACAACGGTCGGACCCGTGGATGGCGCAGGTATCATAGTCGTCGTCCTCGTCGCCCTTGTCGCGACCAAAGCGGTTCTCGAGCTTATCGCACTGATACGCCACTTTGTATTCGAGTCGATCGGCGTGGGCGAGGACCAGCTCGAGCACCTTGTCGCAAGCTTCATTCGATCGTTCGCACCGACGCGCAGCGCCGTTCTTCAAGAAGACGCGAACGCCCATGCAGTCATTGCAGTAAATCGGGTCGAGCTCTCGGTCGTCGAGGACAAAGTCGGCCAGAATGGCGTCGAGGGGGTCGAGGCGTGCGCCTTGCATGATCAATGTGGTCCGGCAGTGCGTTGCCGCTTGCACAATGGCATTGCGGTGGCCGTTCGCGAACTCACCGACCATCGAATCGCGGTGATAATCCTTGAAGTCATCGGCCATCAAATCGGCAACGGCGAGGGGCACCGACTCGTTGGCGTTGCAAAGTGCCACCAAAGCCAGCCATTGCGCCACAAAGCGGCTTGTCTTTTCTGGAGCGGCCACGATGGAAGCGTCGATCGTTGCGACCACGAGTTGCGCGAAGTGCAGGAGAGGCCCATCGCAGGCTTCATCTTGGCCTTGAGGATGGACAGAGTTGTGTCAAACCAAAAAGCCGAGGACAAAGTCGCGCGTCAATGGCGCCATGGGCAAACTGAGAGATCGCTAGGATACCGCCGTCGCCAAAGAGCGCCTGGACCTTCTCAAAAGCGCCACGTCGCAGCGGCCGATGCGGTGCATGCCGCGCAAGAGATCACAGCCGGCCGACGAGTCCAAACGCTCAAGCGACTAGAGAGGCTCAAGTGCGCCGTACGTGTCGAGGGTCGTAACCAGTATATCCACGTAGGGCACTTGACGTAACGCGGACTGGATGCCGAGAGCCTCGACACGAACACGCGGGAGGTGTTCCAGTCGCCACTTGTCGTTCGCCTTCCCCGAAAGGAGCGTGTACTCGCCCTTCGGGAAGCAGAAGATGTCAACGACCGCCACGAGCGCGAGCGGGAGTCGGTGGCCAACCAAAGGCCATCGGCGTTGCATGGTGCGACGTCGCGGAGGTACCACTCGATGATGAGAACATGCTCATCGACCCACGACTTGTCATATCACTGCGGCGTGCGGGTCAGCACTTGGTGCCACTACGTACGACCGAACTCGCACGAAAAGCGCTGTCGCAGCGGCCGGCAAGAGACGAGCAACCGAGTCCACACCGCATGTAATCCAGCGCTGGATGAGCCGGAGCATAGCCGCGTGCAGCGCCATCCAGCCGTACGCGGCCAAGCACTGCTGAATGACGAGTGCGGGGGCGCCTACATACTGCCGGCGTAACAGCTTCATCACGGACCACATCGCGCTCCTCGGAGTGGCGACGTCGCCAATAAAGAGCTCGGCGAGCGCCACGTAGTTGCACACTACCAAAGCGTGACCCAGCATCGACGCGTGCTCCATCGACATGACCGTCTCGACGTCGAAAATCGTCATCTTGCGCACCGAGATAGCATGGAAGACGCCAATCGCGGCGCGGACAAGGTCGTGGGCGTTGGTGAGACCAAGCTTGGGCGCATTCGCATCTGCGATCGCATTCTGTAAAGGAAGTACGACGTCGGGACCCAGGATACTGGCCAAAAAGATTTCATGCCGATCTTTTGGGTTAAAGACCAGGTTAAAGACGAGTGATTTGCATTCAATTCGCGGAGCAAGTGATGTGTTCATCGTGTATATTGTACTGTTGACCTTTGCATCCATATTCATGCTCCGAATGAACGTAAACTGGTGCCGAGATACTTTACTATGTGTCGTACTGGCACCCATTCGGCTCCAAGAGCAAAAGACGCAAACCGCCCTCTGAGTACAAAGGTTCGAGGAGCGCAGGATTCATTACTCTAGTGCTGGCCTCGGACGAGCTCTTTGACCGTCAAAGTTGTGTAGTAGAATGCCACGATGTCGGTTCAGCAAGGCAGACTTGATTTCGGTGCAAATATTAGAGTTGAAGCACGCCATCGATTGAGATCGCCGCCTCGTTCGCAAACGACAAGCAAGCTTTTCTGCCAGATCTGTGTAATGCGTGGGAGGCAGCGAACGGGACTCTTGGAAGGTTGCGATATCGCATGTATACGAGTTTAGGTTTACGATGAGTCGCGACGTCGACTATCGCCAATGACGCCATCGCGACTTGAAGAGCCAGGTGTTTTATGGCCCATACGCAGTGTAGTCCTTCATGCTAGTAGCAATGTACGCTAGATTATGGTGTGTTGTGGCAGTCGTAGCACACGGCGTGAATGCTCACGATCCACGGTGCTCGTTGGATTCATGCGGTTGGCGCGTAAACCGACCTTCTCGAGGTCCGAGATCCCTACCCACTACTGCCATTCTACGCCCTTCCCACACGTTGACTGCAATGGCGCGCTGGCTGCCGCCCGCAAGACCACGTTGAAGTTGCCAAAAGGGATTGCGCAATCCCTGCCGGAAGATCGCGAATCGCTCGCGTTTCATTGGCTCCCACTGTGTCATTCTCGCTGACGAACGCATGCCTGCTGACGCAACCGAGCTTCGGCGCTTGCTGAGCCGCGACGACACGCCCGTGGTGCTCCCGTGCTGCTACGACGGTCTCTCGGCGCGCCTCGTCGAGCGCGCGGGCTTTGAGTGCACCTTTATGACCGGCTTTGGCGTCTCGGCCGTCCACGGCTTTCCCGACACGCAGCTCATCTCGTACGAGGAGATGGTCGCCGCCGCACGCCGCATCTGCGCTTCGCTCACAGACATTCCGTGCATCGGCGACGCCGACACGGGCTACGGTAACGCGATCAACGTCAAGCGCACGGTCCGAGGCTACATCCAGGCGGGCATGGCCGGCGTCATGCTCGAAGACCAAGTCATGCCCAAGCGCTGCGGCCACACCAAAGGCAAGCAAGTCGTCTCGCGCGATGAAGCCTTCATGCGCATCCGAGCGGCGGTCGACGCACGCCGCGAGAGCGGCCGTGACATTGTGCTCGTCGCGCGCACGGACGCGCGCGGAACGCACTCGCTGGACGAAGCCATTGCGCGCTGCATCGAGTTCCACCGGCTCGGCGCTGACGTCACGTTCCTCGAGGCACCGCAAAGCATCGCAGAAATGCAGCGCATTTGCCGCGAAGTACCGGGGTGGCGCATGGCCAACATGCTAGAGCACGGCGTGACGCCGATTGTACCGGCGGCCGAGCTTAAAACCATGGGCTTCCACCTCGTCGCGTACCCGCTCACGATCCTCGGCGCAAGCATCCAGGCCATGAGCAGCGCGCTCACGCACTTGCGCACACACGGCCACACGCCCGTCGAGACACTGCCGACATTCAACCAGGTACGAATTAGTTGAGATGGTAGCCGAAGCCAAGTGTTGTAGATCAAAGCTGACGTGGGGTTTGACGAGTACTACGTTGAAGAAGACAAGTACCGGGTCGAGTCCGCCTCGTAGACATCCTTTGTAGTACTACGATACACTGCGATGACGACTGAGACCGAGGATGGGATCCTCTACTAATATAATCGTTGGGCTGTATTCATTGGCGCCACTGTGCTACTAGAACTGAGAGCAACGGCAACAACAGAGACATGTGGTAACAAGGGTTAGGTTTATGGTCCATCGTAGTCGTACGTACTTAGCATTTATGGACCGAGCGACAAAATTGTACTTCAATCAGAGACCAAGTAAGGGCCTTGGAGCCTTTCCCTTGAAGGACACCTTGGGATGCAGTCGGCTTCGCCGTAGCCGCCAAACCGACTTGCCTGGATACGACCTCCGAGCATCTCAATGCTGTGCAGGAAACTGAAGTCTCTTGGATGCGACATGTGTCTGCGTGGGGCGTCGCTGTTGACGACAAAGTATCAATCGGGTTCTGGTACGTTTCTTCTTACAGCACTGTATATCTTGTGTTCACTTCTTCTTGGCCGGTGCCCGCGCACGCTTGGGCGCCGATCCCGCGGGCTCCTTGCCCTTGCGCTTGGCAGGCGCTTTGCCCGCAGCTTTGGCGGGCGCCTTCTTTTGAAACTGCGACACGTCGTCGTCATCGTCGCCATTGTCACCGTCGTCGGCCATGAGACCGTCGTCGTCGCCGAGGCCGTCGTCGTCCGCCGCGACCTTCTTGGACGACTTCTTCTTTGCCGGGTTGGCTGCGAGATTGGCCTCGACGAGCGCCTGCGACTTGTGCACACCCTTGTTGTACTTGCGCGTGAACGCGCTCTTGGCCTTTGTATCGAGCTCGGCGTACGAGTGCCGCACGACGCCCGGGAACTTGAAGTGCTCCATGGACTCGGTCAGGTCGTCCTTGCTAATCTCACACGCGTCGAGCATATCGATGACCTCGTCCATGCTCTACCACCGCCTCGTTCCTCTCTGATACATTGATACAAATGGGTCGTACCTCGTCGCCGGCGAGGAGTCGCGTCAAGAGAATCTCCTTCATGAACGGAATGTAGTCCATCCGAATCGCTATAACCCGAGGGTTCATGACCTCGCTCCCGTCCAAAAGAACAGGTACCGTTCCGGGCACCAGACGCATGGCTGCGCATGCGGATCGAGAGCTCACTGAGGAGTCGTTTGGCCTTGTTCGTCGACGAGTTCTTGCCCATCCACCTAGTTGAAGTGTGTTGGCACCGGTACAGATGAAGCAACGGTCCATACCGGGAGAACTCGGGGCGGCCAACAAAGCCTTCGGCATACGTACACGCGCCGACGTTGAGCGCAGCTTGCTTGGTCAAGAGGTCCCAGCGCTACGGCTTTGTGAGCACCACTCGATACATATGAATCACAAGCGTACCTGCTCCTTGCGAATGTAGACGCTGACGAGGTCGCTCTCGGCAATCATGTCGGCCGCCAGCGTAATGTCATCGAGCTTCTCGTCCGACGACGTGCGCTTGCTCTGGATGCTTTGCATGTAGTTCTCTTGGACCATGAGCGGCATGAGGTCGTAGTCGACAAAGTAGGCTTCGTTCCGGGCCTCGAACGACGCGCCGCTTTTGAAGATCATTTGCGTCGCGCTAAATGGGTTGAGCCGCAGCACCTACTCGGCTCCATCGTACCAAATCGCCACACACTAGCATTCTACCTCGTCCTTTTCCGACTGGTAAAAGTGCGTCATGACGTCATCGTACGTCATGACGGTCTTGGACCGGTTCCACATTTGCATCCAGTTGAGCAATTGTCGAATGTCGTTGCCGAAGCGCTCGGCGGCTTCTTCCAGCGCGTTGCGTTCGATGCGCATGCCCTGCGCGGCGCCGATCGCAAGCAGCCGCGTCGCGATTTGCGTCTTTGTCGGCCGACGAAACTTGAGGTCGAGCGCGTGGTTGGCGAGCGACCGGACCTTCGGCGACTGTCGGTCGTTGCAAATGCACACGATCGGCGTCTTGCTCTTCTTGATGATCGCGATGAGCTCGGCCATGCCGCCCCGGTCGCCCGAGCTCATGCCGTCGACCTCGTCCATGACGATGAGCCGCTTCTTAAGCCCCATCTTGGTGGCCGAGCCCCCGAACGAGAGCGCCTGTGTGCCCACAATGTCGGCGAGGCCCGACTGCAGCGTCTTCTTGGAGCGTGCGTCACTTGCGTTGAGCTCGAGAATGTCCATGCCGACCTCGGCTGCGGCCAAAGCAGCGAGTGTCGTCTTGCCAATACCGGGCGGACCTGAGAGAAGCACGGTCTTGGCGCCCATGTTCTCGGTCATCTTGGGGTTGTAAGCCACCTTCTTCGTGCCCTTGACATGGACCGCGTCAAAGTCCCGGAGCCATTGGATAAGGCGCTTGGCGAGCTCGCCGTTGCCAATGATGTCGGCCATCGACTTGGGCTTGTGCTTGTCGGGCCAGAGCATGTCGTCGACGACGGCCGATCCCGCCTTTTGCTTGCCTTTTCCATTGGACGGAGCTGGCTTTACCGTCATGCGCTCAGCGCGCTCCGAGATCAAGTTGAAAAAGTCGTTTTGGTTGAGAATCTTGATCGACTTGGCGACCGCGTCCTTGAACTTGGAGCTCACCGAGACCGAGTCGCCCGACTCTAGGAGCTCGCCAGCGACGAGGTACTTGACGTTGCGCGTCACGGACGACGCGACCGACCCGCCGTAGCGCTTGACGACCATCTCGGCCTCGTCGCGCGGTAAGCTCGAGAGCACGCCCGAGAAGGCGAATGTGAGCCCTTCCAAGCAGCCGGGTTTGCCATCGGGCATGCGTACTTTGCCTTTCGGCAAGTTCAGCGCCTCTTCCTTGGCCGCAGCTTGCTTGGCCGTCTCCTTCTTCGCTGGCGCCTCCTTCTTGGCCGGTGCTTCCTTCTTGGCCAGCGCTACCTTCTTGACCGGCGCCTCCTTCTTTTCAGCAACAGGCTCAACGACCTTGGCCTTCTTGATGGGCTGGACTTCCTCGACGTCCGAGTCGGAGTCGAGCTCGATGACCTTGCGCGACGACTTGGCCGGCGGGGCGGGCTCGTCGTCGGCCTTGGCCTTCCGGGCGCGCGTCGGCGTGGGCTCCTTCCTGGGCATGGCCTTCTTGGGCGAGGCCTTGGTCGGGCCGGGGGACTTGGCCGCGTCGGGCTTGGGCGTGCTGCCGCCCTTTGGCGCGAAGAAGCTGCGGATGTCCATGATACCTCAAGCAATCTGGGACTCTGGCCACCGCAATTCTCCCGCTATTTTTCGATCCCTCTCACAACGCATCGATCATGTGGTATCGAATTCCAGAGGTCTGGCGCCAAAACCAAAATTGGTCAAGATCGCCAGCCCTAGTCATTTCACTAATCTTACATAAACCCGTAGCAGACGTCTTGGCGCCCGACTGAAGCGTTCGGCACATCACAAGCCTGCTGGCAAAAGCGCTTGCGGGAGGTGGTTGGTGATGATGCGCTCGAGGCAAGTAGAACACTCGAGTGATTTGGTCGTTTCCTAGCTGGCTCCATCAAGGTGTACACCGCGGATAGACCTTGGCGCCATCAAGACCGCTCCGTCCAGCGTAAGCGATCTGCGGTCTCTTGGCTCGAGCGAGAAGGTCGCGTGGCGTCCGGCTGGTAGTTCTGCTTGGCTGGGAACCGAACGCTCGGACGTCGACTGCGTCGGAAGCAAGCACGAGCTGTGCATGACGCACGATCGACGGCGGGCATCGCGTTCCGTCCCCAGTGCATTAGAACTAGACGAAGGTTTCGTGTTGCATTGGTCTTAGCTCATGGAAGACTTTTTCGACTTCTTCTTCTTCTTCATGTCTTCGGGCTCGGGTTCGTCCTCGACGTCCTCGATCGGCCGCTTCTTCTCGTACATGGTGTAGTCGTCCGCTTCGTTGAGGTGGGTCGCGCGTGCTGCGAGCTTGGGGTAGTGCACCTGGAGTTGGTCGAGCCACTTGACCGCCATGCGCTTCCGGCCCGACCGCGTTTTGCGCCAGACTCGGTCAAAGTTGGCGTGCGAGCAGTAGTTTTGTGTCACAGCGATCGTGTCGTCCATGTTGTAGACTGCATGCCACCAGCCGCCGGGCACGTAGACCGTGTCGCCCGGGTACTGGATGAACTCCATGTACTCGAGCTTCGGGTCCTTCGCGAGCATGCGCGGGAGCAAGTCGGCAAAGTAGTTGCCCGCTTCGTCGTCCTCGCCGGGGTACACGAGGCCCTTGGCTTTGACGAGCGTCTTGTCGACGTGCGGCGGGAAGACGACCCAGCGCTTCCGGCCGACGAGGAGCGTGTTCCAGGCGCTCGTGCCAAGCGGGTCGAGGTGCACGCATGTACCCGACCGCTTGGGCCCGACGAGGAACCAGCGGTACGGCGGCCGGCGCGACTCGCCGACGAGCGAGAAGAGGTCGTCCGGGAAGTAGCGCGGGACCTTGTAGTCGTGCAAGAGCTGCGTTGTCTCCTTCTTGTCGTCGAACGTCGAGTCGAAAATGTAGAGCGGACTGTCGTCGATCTGCGTCTTCATGTACTTGCAAAAGTACTTGAACTTCATGCGCAGCGTCTTGCCGTCGTCGTCTTCGCCGACCTTGAGGTTCGCGTGCTTGTAGTCCTTCTTGAGCTTCTACGCGCGGGTCCGAAGCGCATGAGACATATTGCAAAGGATGAGAGCATACCTTGAGATGCCAGTTGTCGCAGGCGGTCCAGCCTTCGTCTTCGGGAATCCCTTCAATGATGAGCGGCAGCATGGGCTTTTCGTACTCGTCAATGAAGCGCTGGACACTCAGGTCCTTGCACGACTCGCGCGGAATGTCCTTGCTGCTGTCGATGGGCATATCGCAAATGTCCGAGCCGGCAAAGCCTTGGTTCGTCCACGCATCGAGTCGCATGTCTACGTGCATGCCATGAGCCCACGAAGCGAATGCGATGGCAGGCTTCAAGCAGCCGTGTTGCGGGTGGCGTACCGGTGCGGTGCTTGCGCTTGGCGTCATCGATGATCGCCTGCACCTTGCTCGAGAGGCGCGGCGCGGGCACGGGCCGGTGGCGGTAGGTCGTGCGCCCGCTCGCCTTGGCGGCCATCGGCGTCGTGGCCGGCGACCGACGGACGTCGGACTGCGCGTTGGGCGACATCGAGCAAATTGAAGAATAAATGGCCAATCACGTATCTCTAGCGCCGGCGCCGAATCCACCAACAATTTTAACCAATCAGACAAAAGATACACTTTTCGGGCGAAGTCTCTCCCTTGGGTGTTGCAGACTGGCTTGTACCGACTGCAATCCTCGCATATTAGCACAAATTGTCCACTGCGTCATCGACACCTCTAGCACTTTTGTCTATGGCACTACGATTCCTCGCCGAGTAACGAGAAGGGTCGCTTCAACGCGGACTTGAAGTTGGCGTGGGACGCTCGCTTGACTATTGATGACATAGTCCACTGTGACGACGGCGAGATCCGTAGTACTACAGGATAAAGGCGTCGGCAATCAATGGCTCGACGGTCGCTCCCTCGTTTGTCATGAATACCTGAAATCTCTTGAATTGAAATCGTGAAACCACTGAGCTTTCTCGGATTTTGCGAACCAAAACGTCACATTTGGCTCGATATAAGACGTGAGACGCCAGTATTTGATCCATTGATGTAGTAAGATAATGCAGTCAGAGGTTGTACGATCATGCAGTCAGAGAGCCTGGCACGCTAAGGAGACCGTACAAGTTCGGCAACGAGAGATTCGTGGGCAAGGTTGGCTTGCCGTGGGGCCGGATATTGCGGTTGTATCCGGATATGTACGAAAAACGAATTAAATGCAATACAAAAAGCAAGATATAGTGTCGATTTAATTCTATTGCAAACACCAATGATCATTAGGCTCCAGATCGCGCATGATGGCAACCGAGCCGAAAGCCACGAAGGACCCGATCGACGCCGACGCCGAGGACTCGGACGATGAAGACTACAACCCAGGTAGACGCTCCTGTATGTGAGCATGGTAGCATCCAGCTGCGCTAGAGCAAGACACGGAGGCCAAGGTTGAGGACGAGCTCGATGCGAAGGAGGAGCAAGAGTAAGCCAGCACCTTTGGGCTGGATTCAACCTCATGGTTTTCGCCATAGATTCCTGCGCAAGCATGCTGCCAAGCAGCCCATGGTAAGGTATGGCCTCCAAGAGATGGCTACTGAGGTCCATGCGCAGGCCACGAACGCGAGCAAGCGCAAGGTCGACGATCTCTGGGCTGATATGAACGCCGACACGGCGGTCTCGGCCACGTCGACGAGCAAGACAGCCAAGGTAGGCTGCCTCCATCGACATAATTATAACACAGCGCGGCTGCGTAGCTACTGCACAAGCTCGTGCAAGGCCCACCAAAGAAGAAGAAGACCACAAAGGTCCGCGAGTTTCACATGCCCATCATGGGCTGCTCGGGCAAGTCGCGCGGGGGCGCACCGCTCAAGCAAGATGCAACCGTGACCCAAGTGCTCAAGTTTGCCGGTCAAGAGTACACGTACGCATGCCTCTTGTAGAGCCAAGTGCAGCATACGGGTGGTAGGGTCAAAAAGTCGGCGGCGGACAAGAAGACGGGTCTGGACGCCATCGTCGACGCGCTCCAGCAGCCCAAGAAGGTGTCGACGATCGAAAAGTCGTCGATGGATTGGGACTCGTTCAAGGAGAAGGAAGGGATCGTCGACGAGCTCGAGCAGTACACCAAGGACGGGTACGACGACTACACTTCATCATCTTGGTCTAACGCAGATGTTAGGTACTTGGAGAAGAAGGACTTCTTACACCGCGTCGACTTGCGCAAGTTTGAGCTCGAAAAGGCCGAGCGTGAAAAGGTGCGCCGCGCCAACAACTAAGAAGTGCACGACTACGGCGTTGAAATATATATAAAACCCTCGATCTCTAACGGGTGCGTGGCACCGCGATCGGCGCGCTGGCCTTGCTCAACGCTCCTCGCGTTGCCCGGAGACGAAAGACGTAGCTCTTGCCAGGCTCCAAGCCGCCGACAGCACATGTGATGGTCGCGTCGCTGCGGGCCACCGCGACGTCAGCGCAGACCCGCCAGACGCGGACGGGCCAGTCGCGCGACACATACAGTCGATGGTTGGCGCTGGCCGGTGGCCGCGGCCACGAGACCAGCACTTGTCGCGTCTCGGGCGTCCAGCGCGCCTGTGGCGGTGCCCACGTGGCGGGGCGAAACCACTCGAGGCGCCGCGCGCGAATCGGCGGGCCGAGGCTCGACGTCGTCTTGGCCGAGCTCCCGATGTCGTCGGAGGATGCAGTCGAGACGACGGCGCAGAGACTGTCGTCGTCGCCGCCTTCGTGTCGCTGGAGTGTAAAGTTGGGCGGCAGCTCGAGGCAGCGCGGACGCCGGCGCAGGCGGAGGACGAGCGGCCGCGACGCGACCTTGAGCGCGGCGACCGTCTCGGGGAGGCCGACGACGCGCGCGCCGTTGATGGCGAGGAGGATATCGCCACTCTAAGCATGTACGTCAGTCAGTAGCGCCCGCAGAGACGTCGTACGTCGATGGGCGGGCCGCCGTCGAGCGCGGGCCCCGTCACGCCCTGGACACGGATCGTGCGCTGGTCCATCTCGTGCAGCTCGAGCGTGAGGCCGATCCGCGGCGCGTCGAAGCGCACCTACGCGGCGCATCGCTGGCGCGGCCGATCGCATCGCCCAAGTACCTCGTAGTCGTCGGCGTCCGAGACCCGGCGCAGCATGATGGCAACGAAAAAACAACGAATCTCGCCCAAGGGTTGTGGACAGCATTAGTTACACCTGAGTCTACGCCATGGAGAAGCCCGTCACGTCCATCGCGGCCACCTGCGCGCATCATCATCACCATCCGCCCCTCTCTCAAGTACGAGCTCGACAAAGGCGTACCAGCGTGAGCGCCTCGAGCAGCACCGCCTTGCTCTTGTAGTCGGGCAGGTCCAAGCTATACGCGGGTCGATACAGTGCGAAGTAGCCAACGAGGATGAGACGCCCACCGGTTGCAGCAGGTGCGTGCGACGGGGTACTGCATCGTGTCGGTCATGGGTACAACGCGGAGCGTAAAGTGGCACAGCTTGCCGTCTCGGGTCGTGAGCCCCTAGATACGACGCCTCCGGCTTTGTGGTGGCGACAGAAGACGACGTACGCGGAAGCCCTGGAAGGGCACGCACGGACTCCCAGTGACAAACTGCAGCAACCGCGCGCGCTGCGCGTGCGAGAAGCCAGCGACGATGTCCCAAAACCACGCGATCGTTCGTTCGTCGCTGCTGCTGCCGCCGTAGATGAACGTGTGGCGCTTCCAGTCGGCCACGTCGATAGCATCGAGGCCTATGCTCTTCAGCCTCCATAATTGCGAGAGAAACGAGCGTACCGCAGAGCACGAGTCGGAGCTCTTCGTGGTCAAAGACCGAGAGCATTCGTTGGGGTACAATGTCATTGACGCCATCGAGAAACGCAGCAAGCGCGGCGGGTGCGCGCGTGGCGCAGCGGTACTGGACGTAGCGCGCGACGAACGCCGCCTTGTTGTCGTTGGTGACGAGCACATCGCGGCCGCCCGGCACCAAGTCGATGACGCGGCCGTCGGGTGATAGGACACTACGAATGCACGCTTCGTCCATGCCCAGATCTGAAAGGCAATGTGGCACCTAAAGTCGAGCGCGAGGGCTGCCACGTCATGGTCCTCGGCCGTTACAAGCCAGTGCAAACTCGCGTGCAGCGACGGGTCCACGAAGCGCAGGTCGTCAAGACCAAAGGGCATGCCCACGAGATGCTTGAGGAGCACGACGTTGAAGCGCGCGGGCAGTGCGTGGCCGTCAAAGAGAGCCCGTCCGATGAAGCGGCCAATGCCCCGGTACCACTACCATACGTCAACATAGCAGCAGCAGTCGACAGCGTCGGAACCAACCTGCGGGTCCATCGCCGCGTTGATCTCGAGCGTATGGCCGTGCGTCGTCGCAAAAAAGCCGGTCGCGGGATCAAAAAGCGCCGAGGCCACGAGTGTGTACCACTCGCGCTCGAGGCCGCCCGCGTCGACGCCGGGCTCGTCATCGAAGCGCACCGAGAACGGCTTGTACACGTCGGCCTCCGCGAGTGCGTCGAGGGCGCGGCACATGGCCTGCACAACGTCGTCGCCGTGCCGCGTCGTGCAAAGCGTGACAAACTTGTGCCGCTGCCCAACCTTGAGCCACGCTAGAGCTTTGAGGAACCACTGGAATTTCAGAGAAAACGAAAGCGCATGGACGCCAACGACGTCTTCCGACGCCTCGCGGCGGCGCGCGTTGAACTCGGCGACAGTCTCGGTACGAATCGACGCCTCGTGGACGTGGACCACGTACGCGTCGGCTTCGATGCTCTCGCCGCGCACGTGCTGCCAGCGGTACTGGCCGTCCGGTAGCACAAAGCGGTGCCAGTCGCGCCGGTGCCTACAACTCCGATCTTAGTCCAACCCAACGTCGCAAAGCGGTCGTACTGCGCCGCGGTCGTGGCCTTGGGCGTCGAGACGCACACATACGGCGCCTCACTGCGTTGGCCCAAGCCGCACAAGAGGCACGCGCTCGCGGCGCTGTTGTTGGCAAACGCGCAGGCCGTGCACGTCCACGTGCCGGCCGCCGTGTCCCTACATCGCGTTCGAAACAGCTCGATCCAAACGGGCGTACGTGGATGCGAGGTCCTGGACCGTGTCGACGCCGGGCAGCAAGCTCACGATGGCGTCGCCGGCGCGAGTCTGGCCAACGTACTGGCAGACGCCCCACGCGATGAGGAGGACAAACATGACGACGTACGTGACGATGACAAAGACGTCCGTGGACGGTGTACCCATGCTCTATAGATGCCGGCGATCGAAGATGGGTTCTGTGCTGGGACCCGGCGCCAGATGGGCCCGTTGTCGCTGCTGTTGCGTTTTTCGGACAGAAAAATACAGTGTTTGATTTCCAGTGTATATAGAGAAATGCAATAGAGACGATGATCTTACAAGCGGTTGACGTGGATGTTGGCGAGGTACGGCTCGACGACCTTCTGGATCGCGCCCGAGCGCACGAGGTCGAGGACGGCGTCGATGTCCGGCGCGATGTAGCGGTCCTTGTCCATGGCGGGCACGCGGCTGCGCACGAGGCGGTACACGGCCTCGAGCGCGTCCGTCGTCTTGAGCGGGCGGTGGAACTCGAGCGCCTGGCAGGCCGCGAGGAGCTCGATCGCAAGCACCGTCTCGACGTGCGTCACGACCGTGAGCGCCTTGCGCGCGGCAAAGCCGCCCATCGACACGTGGTCTTCCTTCCCGCCGGACGTCGAGAGCGAGTCGACCGACGACGGGTGGCAGAGCACCTTGTTCTCCGAGACCAAGGCCGCCGACGTGCAGTGGGCAATCATGAAACCCGAGTTGAGGCCGCCGTCCGCGACAAGGAACGCCGGGAGACCCGAGAGGGACGGGTTCACGAGGCGCTCAATGCGGCGCTCGCTCACGCTCGCCAGTTCGTGGACACCGATCGCGAGGAAGTCGAGGGCCTTGGCCGGGTACTCGCCGTGGAAGTTGCCGCCCGAAATGATAAAGCCGCCGCCGCCGCGGTAGAACGTGTCGGACGTGCGCTTCATCGAGCGCGCTTCCTTCTCGGTGAGGAGACGCTTGAGGCGCGCGATTTCTTCGTTGGCGGCCGCCAAGTCGGCGGGCTTGGTCGCCGACTCGTGCTCGTCAATGAGCTCGGCGTGCTGCGGCGCAAAGTCCGTGGTCACGTCGGCCGAGCCCACAAACACCATCGGGTTGTCGGTCGCCGAGTTCATCTCGACGTTGATGATACCGCGCACAAACTCGATCGTGTCGTTGACGATACCGTGGATCTGCGGCGCACACCGGAGCGTGTACGCGTCCTGGACCTTGCCCGCGTAGTTGTGCGACTGGAAGAGTTCGGACGGCTTGTCCGCCTGCAGCAAGGTGCGGATGCGGTCCGCGACCATGCGCTGGCCCTTATGCGGGCGCACTTCATGGATGCGCGGGTGGAACGCGTTGACCGTGCCTTTGAGCACTTCGAGCGTGAGCGCAACTGCAATGTCGGCGACCTCGGCGACGTTGGCGGCGCGCACGACGGCTTCGCAGCCGATCGACGTGATGAGCTGCGTGCCGTTGATCATCGCGAGGCCCTCCTTGGCCTTGAGCTGCACGGGGCGGAGACCACGCGCCTTGAGCACCTCGGCCGCGTCCTTGATCTTGTTGCCGTCCTTCGTGTCCCACATCTTGCCTTCGCCCATCATGCCGAGCGCCAAGTGCGCAAGCGGCGCGAGATCGCCGGACGCACCGACCGTACCCTTCTCCGGCACGATCGAGAGGCAGTCGTTGTTGAACGCGTCGATGAGCTGCTCGAGCGTGTCGACGCTAATACCGCTGTGGCCCTTGGCGAGCACGTTGATGCGCAGCGCGAGGAGCATGCGAGTCGCCGACGGCGAGAGCGGGCTGCCGACGCCCGACGAATGCGACCGAATGAGGTTGTCCTGGAGCTCGTGGAGCTTATCGGACGAGATGACAATGTTCGAGAACAAGCCAAAGCCCGTGTTGATGCCGTACGCGACTTTGTTTTCGGCGAGGATGTTGTCGACGACTTGGCGGCCGCTCTGGACCTTGGCCCACGCGTCGGCGCTCAGCTGGATCTTGGTCTCGCCCTTGGAGAGGAGGACGAGGTCCTCGGCCTCGAGCGAGAAGCCATCGAGTGTAAGGGTCTTCGAGCTCATGCTGCTGTTGTCGTTTGCTTGTCGAAAGGCAAATTCGGAAATGAGCAGCACCCGCGCCCACCCACGCAAGATCGCATCCTCTTGGGCTTTGTATACAGACGGATTAAGTGCGATACACAAGTGCTGAGTTAAGTGCGCTTGCGACAGCTGGCCGCCAACTTCAAGGCTGGGGTCACGCGCGCGCGAGCGGTCCACGCCCGTGCTAGCGACTGCGTTTGCTGTCCGCCGGACGCCAATGCCTCGTATGTACCTCGTACTAAAGGCTCATAGGGTACGTGGCGCGCTGAACGACCAGATAGAGGTCGGCGGCGACGCGGCGGTAGGACGCGCCTTCGTCACGTGATCCATGTCGATCTTCATGACGTCACCGGCGCGGAACGCCGGTCGTGGCCATCTGGCAGCTGGCGGCGGCCTTTACTGGCGGCTACTGGCTGGCGCCTGGTGAGCCGCACGTTTGATATCTTGATTTGCCACTGTGCACCATCTGCCAAGGACGGTAAGGAAACCTCCTCCTTCCTCGTCGCCAACACGACACAAAGGCGCTCGATCAAAGAGAACGCAGGACTTATGGTTGGTTGAGTGCAAGGTGCTTAGTATGTTGTTAGATCAACTACTAAAGTCACTCGAGTCGCTGGGGCTGACCACGGGAGAGGCGACCTTCGGGCGCTTCGGAAGCCGCTCAGTGTCCATCACCTCGCGCTTCTTCTTCTTTCTACGAGCATGGCATTGGGATCACGGTCCGTTGAGGTTGAGGCCATGCGTACCGGTCCGTGTCTGTTACAGCAGCCGCAGCCGCCAGCGGGCTTGGAGGTACGGACGGCTTGGGCTTCTTCTGGGTCCTACGCAATCAAACGTATGGCACGGTGAGGCGTCAAGCGAATCGCGTTGGCGCCGCACCGGTCCGAGCCATCGGCGGCCGTCTTGTCACGACGGCTAGTTTAGTCGCAGGTCAGCGCTCCATATACCACGGCACATTGGAGCTCATCATACCTCATCGTCGTCTTGTCCGCCGGCACGCTACATCAGCATGACAGACCAAATGAGATGGTGGACATGCAAGATGTGAGTACCTCAACTTGGTGGCGGGCGAGCCTTTGGCCAACGTTTCCTTCTTCATCCTGTGCATCCCGCCGTTAGCACTAGCTGGTTTAACCTAAGGTACCTCTCACGGCGTGCCTCGAGCAAGGCAACGGTGCGGGCCTTTGGAGGCATCTCCAAGCTACGCCATCACACTCGTCGGTCCACGCCACGGCCAAGCAATAGTCGTACTTGGGCTTGACACTTCGCTTGCTCGGCTCGGACTTGATGTCTTTCTTGATGCTAGTAGAGGACGTTGCAAGGGCGTGGCATGCGAGAGGTGTGTACCCTAGCTTGGAGATCAAGAGTGACGTCGCTGACGGTGGTGCTGGCGGCATGGCCGCACGCGGCTTCTTCTCGAGCGGATGTTTGCTCTTCTCTGCGAGCTGGTGCTTGGTTTTACTCGCGGCGTTGAGAATGGCTTGGGCGCCCGACTCTTTCTTGGCCTTGCGCGTTGCCATTTCGTGGCAGCTCGCGCTCGTGATGGTCGGGATCCACGTCGAGACTCTAGAGACATCCATATATATGTATGACGAGACGCGTGTATGGTATATGGACAGACGTGGCTGGGTCTTGGAGATATGGGTGCGACCGAAAGTACTCGGACTGGAGCGCTTGCTCGGCGTTGAAGCGCTTCTTCGGGTCGATCTGCAGCAGCTTGTCGAGCAGCTCGAGAAAGCCTTTGGGCAGCGGCCGCTTGCGCTTCTCGGCCTTGCTGTTCATCATCGTCTTGAGCTGCCACGTGCGCTTGTCGGGCTGAATAAACTTCTCATAGTGGGGCAAGTGCGAAATGCCATTCACTTCTTCGACCGCGCTGCCGCAGACATCGATGATCTTGGCCATTTGGTCGGCTTCGACCTTGCCCGCAAAGATGGGGTGCCCGAGGAAGAGCTCGGCCATGACGCAGCTAGCCATCACCGCTCAGTCAAAGAAGTGGACAAGGAGCGTAGCATCTACCCTGCGCTCCACATGTCGATGCTTCCGTCATAGTCGTTGGCACCGAGAAGCAGCTCGGGGGCGCGGTACCACAGCGTTACCACCTAGCGTCGCGATGAAGACACCAGAAACGCGATGCAAGGACGTAGGTACCTTGTTCGTAAACTTGGGGTTCGTCCGCGCCGTGCGTGCAAGGCCATAGTCGGCAAGCTTGACTTCGTGGTCGGCCGTGAGGAGGATGTTGGAGCACTTGATGTCCCGGTGGACGACGTCGCGTAAGTGCATGTACTGCAGCGCTTCGAGGAGTTGCTTCATGATGTACTTGGCGGCGACTTCGGTAAAGACATGGCCCGACTGGAGGAGGCCTGTCAAGTCGTGTGGCACAAACTCAAGCACGAGGTAGATCGAGCCGCTGGCGTAGTCGACGCCCGTCTCGGTCGCATGGTTCGAGTATGCACTGTCGTCGGCGGCGCCGCCGCCCCCAAGATCGTCGTCGTCGTCGTCTTTTTGCTTGCTCACGACGACCTCCTTGAGCTGGACGAGGTTTGGGTGGCGTAGCGCCTTGAGCGCTGCGATCTCGCGCAAGGTCGTGATCGGGATGCCCTCGGCCTCGTTGAGCGTCTTGATCTTCTTCATGGCCACGCGCTCGCCCGTCGCCTTGTGCTTGGCCTCGTACACGCAGCCGTACGTGCCCGAGCCGACGCACTTGACCTTCTCGTAGACCTCGACGCTCCGGGTTCCATAGGCCGCCATGCCACTGCTGAGCTCGATGGACCCGACCAAGCAGAGATAGCACACTATATTAGGTGTACCTAAATAGTATGTATTCAACACTATATTTGACATAGGACACACCATGACACTAATTGAGCGTAATCCTTGATATGGTGTTGAAAATGTGAAATTGAAATGGTGTGATTTGGTCATCGTATCCGGACAAAGACCGGTGGCAAAAGGTCGATCGACCCAGCAGACGACGACGCATGCAGTACCTGGACGAATGCGTCCACCAGATGCGGGCCTGCGCGGACAAGGTGCATGATGGCGATGGACGCATGAGGTTGACGATACATGTAGCTGCGCGGGTCCAAGCATGCGCTCGTAGACGCGCTCGAGGCCATGCGCGAGGAAGAGCTGCCCGTCGTCAAGTTTGTACGTCGCCATGCGATCGCCAACGATCTCATGCGTGGAGGTAGAAGCACAAGCTTCTGTACGAGGCCCATGAGAAGGAAGAGGACATCCGCGAGCGCAACCTCAAGAAGTTTGAAGCGCTCGAGAAGCAAGGTACGCCATCCTCTCTATCTCGTGGCTCATTCGAGGCACGTAGCCCACGAGATGCTCGACAAGATGCTTGCCGAGAAGAAACAGCTCGAGACCGAGATGCGCCGGCAGTCGCAGCAGTTCCGCAACGTCATGGACCAGCGCGACGCCGACGTCGAGGTACCTATCTCTCGACGGCGACCATAGCCAACGAGGTTTTAGGCAGAATACTCCAAGGCGCTTGGCCAGCTCCACGACGAGCTCGAAGACACGACGCAGGTAGATCCATTCTAGTATCAACGCGATTTACATGCGTTTTCTAGCAACTGGAGCTGGCGATCCGGATTCGGGATGCCAAGCACGCCCACTTGACCGACCTTCCCGCGCCGTCGGCCGACTTGGACGAGCTTGTAGCGACAAACGCGGCGCTGAAAGCCCAAGTCGAAGACGCCAACGAAGACGTAGCAGCACTCAAGGACGAGTACCATGCGCTCAAGAACGCGCCGATCAAGCGCAAGCCGCAGGACGAGCTCGTCTCGGCCAAGTCCCGCGCGCTCGCCGAGAAGAAAGGTCGTGTGCATTCAACGACGGCGACGGTTGCGACGTCGCTTCCCCTTAGATGCGATGGAGTGTGTCCACCTGCAGCAGGAGATTCGTGTGCTCCAGCAAACCCACCACTCGATGCAAAACAAGGTACGACATCGTCGCCAAGCGGGTATTGATGGCGTCCACAGTCGACCCAGCGCCACTGGCTCGAGCTCCAAGTCCAAGAAAACAAGCGCGTCGAAGAAGCCATCGCCAACGTACGTGCGATCGCAAGCGTCTCTGGGCCCAGTTGGATGCAATTAGGTGGCCGCCGAGATCGAGACGACCAAGACCAACCTCGTCCAGACGTCGATCCGACTGCAGTCACTGCTGCGGACATTGGCGTCGTCCCCAACCGTCGGCGCGGTCATGACGCGTCTTTACGGTCTCTTTTCGCCGACCAACGTGACGCTGTCGGTCGCCGACTGCTTGGCCGCGAGCCCCAGCGAACCCGAGGGCAGGCAGGCGCTGCTCGAGCTCGAGCAAATGGGCCTCGTCCGGCGCGAAAGCGACTTTATCACCAAGCTCTAGACGCCATACAACTCGTATTTGCATCACTTTTTCTTTTCGCAGAGTCGTTGGCTGCGCTCGATACTGAGAAAGGGTGATCATGACAGCAGACGCGCTTCGAGCCGACACTGCTGACGCTGGATGGGTCTTTATTGACCCTTGCCGCCCGAGGCAAGACGCGAGGTCGATATTCTGCAGGCAAAGTCTTGTGTTCAACCCAGATGACTAACAGCACCATGTCTCAAAAGCCAGTGCAGAGTCGGCGTTGCAAGTGGCGCCGAAATTTAGAGCAAAGATGTGACATCAAGTTATCGTATATATTTGGTCATTGCTGCGGTGAAGAAAGCTAGCTAGGCGTGCGAGGTACATCATCGGTATTAATCAAGGTTGGTCTCATGTCGTGACCGAGCCCCGCTTGTGCAGCGGGTCCGGCCTACTCAGAAACGAGGAATTCCATCAC